AAAAAGAAAAAAGAAATTAAGATTATAATTGTTATTATATTATAAGTTAATTTTAAATTTTGTCACTATATTTTAATTTTATCAAACTTTGTTATTTTATTTTTAATTTTTTTAATTTTTAGATTAAAAATAACGAATATCAGTGAAATTTATGCCTTGCATTAATGAAATCAATGAAATTAAAAACGTATAATGGTAAAATTTAATAAAATCAATAGTTACACGATGAAAACGGTAGGTTTGTTCGTACCAGAGAACTTCTCTTTTTCCCCCTTGCAACTATAATATGCAGGTAGGAGCCGGGTTATCACTATACCAGAAATACTTCAAAGTCCACTCGCTGGCCTTCATCCCTCTCCTTTGAGCTTCAAAGAGTAAAGTTAAAAAAGAAAAATAAATTAAAAAAAGGGGATACAAAGCTGAATCGCTTCAATGTCGTCTGTACTCAACACAGTCTCTTCCTTAAGGCTATCCAGAATCTACAGCAACAAAAATCACCTCCGAGTCCCGACTCAGTCCGTTTCAACTCCCGCTTCCGTCTCTTTCACCAGTGAGTGAACTCGCTCCTGCTCTTGTTTTCTGCTCTTTGAGTAGCTGGAAGGGAAACGGAATTTGAAATTTTAAGTAGCACCATCTTTAAGCAAGAGTTCAATTTATAGCTCTTATCGCTTCGATTTTCCATTGCCTTGCGTTTCCTATCCTCGATGAAGCTTTTTCGGACTTAATTTATTTAATTTTTCACTTTTCTCAGGACGGAAATTGTCCGTGAGAGCAGCGGACACTGATACAAACGAAGGTTTTTTTTTTTTTCTTTTTGAGCCTTTAAAATAATTGTAATTCCTGTATAAACTTCTTTTTTCAATTAAATTTTGATTTTTTATGTGGATATTTATTTTGGCAGTGAAATCTAAGGCACCGGATAAGGCGCCCGCCGGTGGCGGGTCAAGTTTCAACCAACTTCTTGGTATCAAAGGAGCCGCTCAAGAAACTGTAAGCCCTCTATATACAGATCCATTTGGTACTCGCAAGTTTTAATTTTTTTTAATTATTCATGCGTCAATTATAGTCTAGAAATGCAATTGTAATTTAGGTGTCAACTTAGAGAAAATTGATGCTTATTTGAAGAGCAACCGCCATTATTTTTTGCTGATAAATTATTGTATTTATTGCATTGATACTTTAGTGCACAGCTGCTACATAACATTAACATAGAATTCATTTAGTACGGTTAGTGACTGACTGATGGTTGGCAGTTGGTGGGAAACGTCAGAATGTTTACCCAATTAAGACAGAGCCAGAGGAATGGGAAATGCTTATTTGAACTATGTTTCATTGCTCGAATGATAACCTTTTAGCCTTACTTCCCTAGAAATGTCTGAAGCTGTGCTGCTTATTTGGTGTTATATATGATACAGAACAAATGGAAGATTCGTCTTCAACTTACAAAACCAGTTACTTGGCCTCCTTTGGTATGGGGAGTAGTTTGCGGAGCTGCAGCTTCAGGTACTCTCTCATCTCTAACTTAATTTGTTCATGTCTACTGTTTGGAAATATCCTTTTATTTATGCCTATGAGTATGAAATTACACCAGAAATCTTGAGGAAGTTTCAGGATATCTAGTTATCTTTAGCCTGGCTGCCTGCATCTTTGCAAGTTGGTGAATGTCATTTGTCCAAATCTCATTTTTTATGAATGCTACTTGTGTCCTTGAACTCAATTAGAAGTTGCATGAAAGAGTTTGAGAACTAACTAGAGGACCACCTGAAATAATTTTTATAAATTGCAGGAAACTTCCACTGGAATTTGGAGGATGTTGCCAGATCAATTCTCTGCATGATAATGTCAGGTCCATGTCTCACAGGCTATACTCAGGTATAAACCCGTATGGATAAAGGTGTGTCTGGATTTTTACATGAAAACAAGCTTCAACCTGAATAATGCAAATTGGTCTGGCTATATTATCTTTTCAGACTCTCAACGACTGGTATGATAGAGAGATTGATGCAATTAATGAGCCTTATCGTCCAATTCCTTCAGGGGCAATATCTGAGAATGAGGTGTGTACTGTAACAAATTGTGTTATGTGCATATTAGAAATGATATTCATTGAAAGCTTCATACAGGTTATTACCCAAATCTGGTTGCTACTCTTAGGAGGCATTGGCATAGCTGGTTTACTAGATGTTTGGGTAGGTAAATTTCAAGTAGTTGGTATATACTTTTCCTAAAAGATATACAAGATTAAAGCAGTTCTAATCGTTCTTTATAGGCAGGGCATGATACCCCTATTGTATTTTACCTTGCTTTGGGAGGTTCCTTGCTATCGTACATATACTCTGCTCCTCCTTTAAAGGTAGTTCACTTCCATGCTGCCACTATGACCTGTCTAATTTCTTTCTTCTTATGGAAGAAAATGTGCTTAGATCTGACCAAATTCCAAATATCTTGCAGTTGAAACAAAATGGCTGGATTGGAAATTTTGCTCTTGGAGCAAGCTATATCAGTTTGCCATGGTGTGATATCTTCTATTTTGCTACTTTTAAGAGGATAGTTCAGGATATTTTTTATAAATATACTACAGGGCTTGTTCAGCTTGATTATAATCTGACAAATAGTCATTATCCTTAGTAATAATGTTCATGAAGGGCCTAAAATACCTGTATCGAATTTCCAACAATTGTTAGCCCTCCTTATTCCCCAATATGATTTTGAAATCTTTGCTAATGTCCCACAGAAATAGAGCATCCTAACTACAACATAAATTGGACTGCCATCAATTCACCTGTCGTGATTCCTTTTCCATTTATTGAGATACCCTTTTGGAGGGCAGGTCTAGCAGGTTCAGTCCCTTCTGTAGAATAATCTCTAATGTTGCTAATATGAGTCTATACAAAATGATTTAGCCTTTTCACTTTGTTTGGTTATGTCCTGAAGTACGTGACCTACATTCTGGACTTTCACTTTGTTGTCTGACAAGCATTGTTCCAAATCTTGTGAGTAGGTGGGCTGGTCAAGCTTTGTTTGGGACCCTTACACCAGACATAATTGTTCTCACACTCTTGTACAGCATAGCTGGGGTATGTTTTTTTCCTAGCATGTTCCCTTCTTGTCTAGGCATACATGATTTGACTATAACAATTTCTTTTTGTTGTATCACTTTGCAGTTTGGTATTGCCATTGTTAATGACTTCAAAAGTATTGAAGGAGACAAAGCTCTAGGTTTACAGGTCTTCTCTCTTTATTATTATTGTTAGTTAATTCCTTGGGACTATAATGAGTTCTTCTCACTCCTCGCCTTCTTTGAATATATTACTGCATTATCCTTGAGAGAAGCGGAGTTGATAGTTCTATGGTAATGATGCTTGAGCAGTCACTTCCAGTAGCCTTTGGGGCTGAAACGGCTAAATGGATTTGTGTTGGTGCTATTGACATAACCCAAATATCTGTAGCTGGTATGTCACTGGAATTTATATTCAGTAACTGATAGATTACAAAATCCAATGTGTCTTTCTTCTTGAAAGTTTAAAATCAATGCTAATATATACTAATGGTGGTTGCAGGTTATCTTCTTGGAGCTGGTAAGCCATATTATGCGCTTGCCCTTCTTGCTTTGATAGTTCCACAAGTTGTATTCCAGGTAGAACAATTTCTTGATGCCTTGTAGAAACTCTAGTGCCGCTTTTTCCTTACCTTCTAAGAGATTAATGGAGATTAATGCTCATACCAATACCTGTCCGCTGCAGTTCCAGTACTTCCTAAAAGATCCTGCCAAGTACGATGTGAAGTATCAGGTAAATTTTCTGATGAGTCAAGTCCATTGCTCAATGTATAGAACAGTATAAAGAATATTACCATAATCATGGCCATAATTAATGACCAAAGTGAACCAGCTTCCACCCCTGAATGTAATATTTGTATACCTATGTCTCGATGCCTAACCAGAGTTATACTTAGTATTCCAATCTGTAAAATTGTACAGGGATCAAGATCAGGGTAGTTTCAAAGAAACAGGTCATTTGATAATGCATCTGACCTGGCCTTGTTTTACATCGAACGTTAAATCTTGTTCTTGTGTTTCAGGCAAGTGCACAGCCATTCCTGGTGCTTGGTTTGCTGGTGACTGCTTTAGCAATTAGCCATTGATGAAATATTACAGCCGGAGGACAAGTAGGAGATGAACGATTAAACTTTTGAAGGGAGCTGGTGAGCACTGTAAATTGTTGATCGATCAAAAAAAGCCACCGAATGAAAGCAGCTTTGCTCAAAATGTAGTATCTAAATTATGTGAACTTCCACGCGTCCAATGGCTGGTTCTTTCTGGTTTTCCCATGGTAATAAGGCTGGTCATGCTGATTCTCCTTTGTTTTTTTGCCTTTTCTTTCTCTTTTTGCTGTTAATGGCAATGAAGCTTTTGTTTTGTTCGCTTGTACACACTTCGTGAAAATTTTAGGGGTTTTGGTTCTTCACAATTACTCTTACTCCAAAGTAAAAACATCATTCATTCCACTGTCAAAAGGATACAGAAAAGAGAGGTACCTGGTGCAGTGAAAACCTCTAAGGCAACATGCCATGCCACTCAACCATTAGAACCAGAAGAAAAGCTGCCCATCATACAAAAAGTAAGAAAAAAAAGAGAGACCATCTTTACAATAGTAAACCTAGAGTCCTATAAAACAATGAGATTAGACATTGGCAAACACAGCCGGAGCAGAGACCCCTGGTAATCTACTTGGTCTCGCCAATGTCGATTCCTTCATCAGGACCACCCTCACCCCGTGACTTGTCCTTGGTGCTGAGTCCACCTTTTCGGCCCATTTCCTGGTACAATTCTCTTCCAATCTGCTCCTTCCTCGTCTGGCCTCCTTTGCTTCCCAGCTCCTGGTACCCTTCTCGCCCCAGTTGCTCCTTCCTCGTCTGACCTCCACGGCTCCTCCCTAAATCACCAACAAGAAAAA